AAAACATACTTCCGTTGCTTCTGAAGTTATTTTTAGTGTCACTGAATAGTTCGTGCTACCCCCATCCGGGAAACTACCCATGCCATTTCCATTCATGAACCCGAACCAAATGCACAGTTGGATAAGTGACGTCTAATTAATCTCACGTCGGTGATTTCTAGATTGATGTAGAAAATTATAAAGAATTGTGTTATGGATTACTGGTTCTACAGCAACTTACTATCGACTTCGCGGCATGGGTCCCTAAAAACCGGACCCTATGACGCCTGCATGCTGGATTAAAAGCAAGATCAAGGCCTTTTTGTTGCTGCACTGTCCTTCGACTTCAAGTAGTGGTCCGACAAAGTGCCCGAGCAGGGGATTTTTCAGGAAGCTTAGATCATTTGGGGCGGAAAACTCATTACATGACTGGTTCTAACCACTTCTTCGTGAACGTTCTCAGATAGTCGAGTCAAACGACTGCTCTTTAGATCCTCTCCCTTCTGGAGTTGACGTGGTACAAGGGAGTCATCTTGGTTCACTCTTCTTCCCCATGTGTATTCATGACATATGTAGGGCAGTTAAACATGGAAAACCATATCTTTATGCTGACGAACTTAAGATTGTTTGCAGCTTCCAGTACGGTGCGATTACTGAGGGTCTGTCACAGCCAAGGCAGATTTAGATAATCTACTTCAGTGGAGTCAGAAATGGCAACTGGGACTCAACCATGAAAAACGTCGAATTCTACACCCCGGGAAGCGTTGTCCTACCAGCAGGCCACGCTTACAGGTCATAAATCCAAATGCTCAGTAAGGCCTGTGATCTGGGCGTTCAATATTCTGGTAACCCTAAACTTCAATGAGCATGTCACACCTATCATCTCCAAGGGTAGACGATTATCAGGTTTCATCCCGAAAGGCTTCTATACAAAAAGGCCATATTTGATCTTTTTAAGGATCGCGTCAGACCATTTCTTTCTAGCATGAACGAGACTGACAAATCACGACTCGAATATGTCCAAAGGAGCTGAACCAGACTATCATTGATTAGCGCTGGTATTGTGGACCACATAGAAAGGTGTGCCATACTGTCTGTTGAACCGCTATGGAAACGGGGTTTGAGAAACAACTTAGTTCTCCTGCGCGAAACCTCGCGCGGTCTGTCACGCTGTTCCTCCCCACCCGCCTGGAGGTATGCCCCGCCATATGACCCTAGAAGTCACATGTTGACGTTGGCAATAGATAGATGCAACAAACAGGTCAGGTGCAAATTCCTTACCACATATTACTGCTTAATCCGGAATAGGCCCCGCGTAGCCGTACGCAGCAGCACTTCTGTGTCTCAGTTTAAGCGCCTTGTCGATTTGCTTTTAGGCTCAGATGATGTCTACAGTCTATTTGTAGATAGGTGCGTCACAACAGAAGTACTCCGAGGTGGCTCTGCAGGACCCTAGACTCACGAAGGTAGTAAAATCGGTTGTAACTCAAGAATAAATATAGGCGGGATCTCTTTCTAAGTATCGTTTCATAAATCAAGCAACTCTTAATTTGGAACAGCTAGAACTGTGTGTATCCGGCAGTTTCCCCTCCGTTGTGCAATCTGTATCACCATGGTAAGGTGGCCCATATACGGTGAACACCACAAGCCTGACTCAAAACAACGCTCAAATCCATTTAGTTGTATTACTGGGAACAGTCTGTTCTCAGAACTCCTCGCAAAGGTCTCTACATCAAACTGTCTTATTTTCTACACATTAAGACTCATTAACTCACTTCTTCATACCAAGACTTACTTCTTATTCGGAACCCTCTGTATACACCCATATGTACGGTATTTACTTATTCCTCATCGCCTAGATTCCAGCTCAGACATGTCGATTGGTATCCTCAGGCAATTAGTTTCAGTGCTACACTTTGTGTTTACCGCGCATTAAAAGCCACTGACTACTATTTCGCCATAGTTTATCACTGGTAAGACAGATAATTCTCATGCAACAACTCTTAAATCTACATCTGAGTTCTCATTCTCTGATCATTACGTCCATATTTTGTTACTCATTGGCTTCAGTACACGTTTTTTTCCTTTCTGATGGACTTATTCACAATGAAACCACTGCATAACGGTTATTTTGACAGTTCACCCCAACTTCTTGGCTCCAACTGGGACATAATCTAGAAATGTTGGCATTACATGCTGTTTGTATCCAAACACAAAGGTTCCCCTACCGATAACAGCCACTCACCGCCTAGTGAAGGAAACTGAAACCGATCTCATGTGAAGCTCCGACCCTGAAAACATATTGAATAGTTTAATGACGGAACCTTACGCGCCATAAGCCGCAAAATGACAACAGTTTCTGGCTTGAGTAACGACTTCAGCTCAGTTAATTCCGGTAAAGTTGTTTTCAACGACACGAGCCTAAGCAGTCACTACATGTTGCTTGACACTGCATGATACTGATCCCAAGCTTTGCCATCGGTCTGTACCAGGATTTAGATCTAATGTTACATGCCCTCTGTAAACAGCAGAAGCTCATTGAACGTTGGCACTTTTTCAGCATCATTCGTGCTCGGCATTTGATATTCTACGTACTTTGACCGTTTATGCGACTCATTAACTGAAGTGTTGAGGCCTAATCCCATTGACCTGGTTAAAGCCCATACTGGGTGACGGTACTTTTGTTACTATTCACTAGAGTTGTGTAGCGAAAGGGCTGTTATCTAATATTTGCGACCAGCAGCACACGACTAATCGCATTCTACAGCAGACTGTGTATGGTGTGGCGATTAGTTATTTTTAAATTTTTTCGGCCTCATCGGGAACAATAACATTCAGATATCACCTGTAAAAACGGTATGTATTCGTGTAATTTACAGTTCGAAGTATGTATACACATACTGTTATTATTAAAGCATGATCTTCAGTTTGCAAACCAACATATCATCTTGGTCATGCCTTCTTTCACCTATGAACAACAACAGTTAGAGTAACTCACCTGAATGGCAACTTACCAAAGTGAATTCCCTAGAGTGCCTATCAACCGGCTGAGATGATCATGATAAGCAAACGGCAAACGTAAACTCACACAAATAGCCAAAACACTGCACTGCTATAGTCTACGATGCAAACATTCATCTTAACTTCGTGTAATTTGTGTCTGAATAAGAGCTTAAAATCACGAAGCGGATGAGTCAATCAGTAAATCAGCTGATAAGTTCATCCACAGACTGTCGTTAGCCAGCACAAGGTAGAAGCGAGATAGTAGTTGTCTACGGGCGGTTGCCCGTGAGTCAAAACGCACCTTAGGAAGGTGACTTCACCTGTTGATGCTCCAGCAGATTATTCAGTTGATATTTGGGTATTTCATATTTCTTCATTTGTTCTAACCACACGATTATTTTGGTGATGAAAAAGTGAACTACAACCGCTTCAGTGTGTCACACATACGGTTTGAAATCATCTGTACTACGTCGTTCAAGTCAAGAAGAACCGCTGAAGACAATAATCTCTGGCATATTATCCTCTCACTGTCAGAGGAATCGTTAGACGCTATAAACGTCACTTAATTATAACTTGCAGGATTCTTATGTCGAGAACGGAAGTTAAAGCTTACGAGAACTACCGGTTTGAGGTGGGTATTTTCTTGAAAACGTTTAACAGTTCCACTTAGCATCTACTCATAGTCAAATGAAAAACAGCAAATAGACTAAAAGTAGTAGAAGTTGGACGCCTGAAATGCCACAGCAAAGTAAATATCACTCTTACGCTATGATATAAGCAAGTGGATCCGGGAAGTTAAAAGAAACTAATGATTTTGGTGTTTGACTGCATTGCCAAGGGATAATCCAAAACAACTGAAGCTCAGAATGAACAGTGCTGAAGTAGATTCAACAAGCGAATTGTCGAGACACACTTTGGTCACAGTTCAACCCCAACTTGTCTGTAGTTTCTTCGCTACCATTATTTTCCCTGGTTCTTAAGAGATGGAAATCACAAAATATCACGACTGGCCGGGTGACTGAGTGCTGAGAAAATATGCACGGATCACCTTTGCGGGTAGAGAAGAGCTGGTGGCAAAGAACCATAAACTCTACGCATTCAATGAGGGAAAGCCGCTTGGGCACTCTTCTTGAAGCACTGCCACGAGTGACCGCCAGAAATTATGGTGAATAGAGTTCCATAACTGTCCAGGACTCAAACGCTTGATAATCTTGTAAGTGTTCGCGACAGTGCCACAACGGCGTCCCAGATGTATTTATTATCCCGGATCTGAACAGTAAACTCTTCAACCTGTCTCTTGAGTCACTTCAAAATGCTTAGCGAAGTAACAGGCAGCTTAGACCTCTCTGCATCTGCTCATACGTCTAAATTGTCCCCATCAAAGGGACTTGTTTCTTCTGGGTCATCGCGACAGAAAAGGCGCGCAAAGGCAGGAAGCTTGGAGAGATGTTTGCTGTCCACGTGAGGTGATATGTGATGGGCACACATAATTCCATTGGTGCTCTAACCAAAGTACGTGACTCAGTGTATTTTTTACCACAAATTGCGCTGGGTGTTGACCGCTCTATCACATAAGTATCCAAAATCATAAGCATGATGCAAGAAAGATACAGTTACAACTATCCTGCATACCGCCAATGGCAGTATGTAGTTAGCGAATCATCGGCATACTCACTTGAGACACCTGAAGTGAATCTTTAGACTTCACGAAGGGATAAGTGTTAAGTGCACTTCAGACGCCTTTCGGATGCTTTTAAGACTACCGAGACCAAAGACTAGTGACGTCATCCTTTGTGGGTTAACGGAAGTGTCTGAACTGAACCTTATCCTGGCCTTTGTATACACCTATGCTTTGTGAATTAATGGAGGCTATCCTGCTCAAGAAATGTCGGCACTATGTAAGATCTCTATACTATACACACGGATGACGAAAAATGAAATATCTGAACTATCTTGTGTAATCCTAAACGTAGGAATTTAAATATCGCGCCTTTATTTTGTTAAAAAAAACAGATACTCTTGTCGTAAAATGAGATGAAATTTTCAATGTAACCATTTTGATGCAAACTCATTCTGCTTTAAACCTGTCTTTCACTGTATTGAATGTCATATCTTTAAGTCGGTACGCCGTGGGTGTCACTTTGATTTCTGCCTTTTCAAGTCAGACTGCGTTGGAAGGATGAAAGTTACTTTCAAAACGTTGAAACAACAAACATTTGTTTTAGATTTAGAGGAAGGCGACTTAGTAAGTTACCTGTGTTTTTTATATTTCGTGCAGGTTGGTGATGTTAAAAAAAAGATAGAGGCTGTGAGAGGTAGTGAGTTTGATGCAAGTACACAGAAGCTAATACACTCAGGTGAGTCACTAACATTGGTCTGTAGCTTTTTTTTGTAGGCAAGGTAATGGAAGATAGCAAATCTCTCAAAGACTACAAAGTGACGGATTCTGGCTTTGTCGTGGTGATGTCCATCTCAAAACCTGTCAAAGATACAACCAAAGAACCAAGTGTTACAGTACCAGCTAACTCTGTTGCAGAAGCAACACCGGCAGCAGATAGTAAAATTGCAGTAGCAGATGTGAAAGAGACATCAGGCAGTAAATCGAGTTCCATTCCTCACACCAGTCCACCTGTAGTTGCAACCACTCCACCAAGCACTACAAATACCTTGGGTATTGGTGAAAGTTCACTAGTCACTGGGGAGAACTTCGAGCGGGTTGTGCAGGAGTTGGTGTCTATGGGTTACGAAAGGTCATTGGTCAGTGCCTTTTAAAAGTAATAGTATTGAATTTAGGTTGTTCGAGCAATGAGAGCAGGTTTCAACAATCCGGACAGAGCATTTGAATACCTTTCGTCGGGAAATATTCCAAATGTGGATATAGTTGAACAACCATCAGATCAAAGAAGAGGGAATGAAAGTGTGCCTTCTGAAGCACCTGGTGATGCTGACGCACCAAGCTCGGAATCACCTAGTTCTGACGATCCAATTGCAGCTCTTGCAAGCTTACCACAGTTTCAACAGATGAGAGCTCTAGTACAAGCAAATCCAGACCTGTTACCACAGCTCATCCAACAGATTGGGAATGACAACGCAGACTTATTCAGAGTAAGCAACAATGGTTTTTAAAGTTTAGAACTTTTTGGGTAGCTGTATGCTGTTTGTGCATATAAAGCGCAGTTGAAGATTTAGTTGTTTATACTGCTAACTTGTTACCGTAGTACTAGTTGTGGTCTTTATGTATCTTGGAATTATCTGAAGTTACTCTTCTACTAAAGACTGTAGACAAACTGTCAAATGAAGATCGGTTCGCGTTACATGCGGTAAAATTGGACATTAACAAAGCTTAAAACCCAAGGTAACGATTCCATTTCTTAGGTAATGTCTTCCAACAAGTATAAACCAAAGTTCAGAATCTATTTGTTAGAAGGGGTTGTTCATAACCAGTACGAGATGTAGGTTTACCTAGCGATAACTTATCTACCTTTCTGAAATGTCTTTATTCGATTTCAGTAATCACACTAACAAAACTATCCAGTGGCTTATACCATGTTCCTCTAACATCTAGGGTTAGTTTCTGCATGGTTGGTAATCAGAAAGTGGAGCTGTGGTTCGTTGGTGGTGTTGACTTTCAATCGGTGGGTCGCGGGTTCGAACCCCGTCCCACCTACTGAGATTTAGCTAGGTTGTCATCAGCTCTCACACACTAGATGTGGCTTATTGCATGCTACACGAATGTGCAGAAGTTTGCTGGGTTGGTTTTAATCTTGGTAGGCAGACTATGAACATGAGATGCGCAGATATTTATTTCTAGGTTGTAGATTTTATTACTTGGCTGTGTGCAGTCATAGTGTATTTGTACCACCTGAAATCACTATTAAATTTAGACTTTCGTACATATTTCTTAGCTCATTCAAGAAAATGAGCAGGCATTTTTGGAATTTCTGAATACTCCTGTTACTGGTACCACTCGTCCTGCTGGTCAACGTCAAACTGTCCTCACCATGACAGCTGAAGAGCGTGCTGCCGTAGATCGTTTAAAGGCTCTGGGGTTTCCAGAAGAGTTGGTTATTCAGGTATGTTCCTGGCGTTTTCCATCAGTTTTTAAATTTGCTTATCAACTTGTGAAGTGTATGTGACAAGGCCGATAAACCGTATCAGCGAAAACATTTAGGTCTTTTAGTCATGTACTAACAATTTTTTTTAAGGTAATATTATGTAGATATTTTCACCTGGTACACCGTGAGGGTAATATCAGCTAAATTTGTCTTTATCTCACGTCCCTATCATAGAAATTCATCGTGATTGCAACGTTACTAAGTTTTCTCAAATTGTGCTCACGACGTGGGTTTCTTTGTCTTTATGCATCGGTTGTGACACCGAATATGTTTCTGGGGATTACCCACTTGTGCCTATCACTGACTACTGATGAGGCTTGCCCAACCACATAGTAACTGATGTATAAATTTATAAGATTTTCCGCAAAAATAAACGGTTCTTTTCGATTGTTTTGAGGATCAATTTATACCTGGGACGTTTTACAAAAGTATTCTCTCCTACCCATCACTTCAGTAGATCTACGTTGCTTGGAGAAACTGTCAAATCTCTTGATACTCTGCCCGGCGATTAGGTGTCTTCCTTGCATGGTGACAATAGAGCTTTTACATTCTCTCTCCAGCGTTACCATTATTACTACCACTGGCGTCATCGGTGTTATTATGGTCATTATTATTAACAGTTGTTACTACTATTGCTCATATCTTGGGATTTCTTATGAATTAAGTGATCGATTTAGGCAAGTAGTTATGGAGACGTAAGGCATCATTTTACCTCTCGTATCGATGTCTTACTAAGGTTCGTATTGTAAATATGCATATTGTAAGATATATATATATATATATATATATATATATATATATATATATATATATATATATATAACATGCATATTTACAATAATGGTTGAAAGTAATTTGATCAGTAAGTTGGTCTTTTCTCCTGGCAAGGCCTTTTGAATATTCTAAGTGCAGGTAAGTGGGTTTTTTATGACGCCAATAACAGATAGTAAGTTCCCTGGAAAATGATATCGTTTCCCAAAACCGACTCGTTAGGCTAGGACTGAATATTTTCTGTCAATAGAAACATAGGACATGATATTCTAGTTTCTATTATGAACGAATTTGGATATAACAGGGGGACCAAAAGATTGTGGTGTAAAAAGCATTGAAGCACCAACAGAAACATACAAAATGGGAAGAATGCAAAGAAAAACAGCTTTACCTCAGAATTACTTAAATATTTCAACTAAATGTTAACAGTTGCTGAGATTACTGTGGTTGTGCAGTCGTTAAACATCCTTAGCTGAGGTCACGTTTTACAGGCGTAAACCGAAACTGATGTGTTGTACGTCCTATCTTACACTGCAAAGGCAGCGTGGAAATGATGGCAAAGACGACTCAGCTTTTTGTATACCACTCTGTTTTTCGACATATGGTTTGAATTCTCTACAGTCACACTTTAGCTGCAACCTTGACGTGGTGGTCGGGCTTGATATCCGCATGTCCCAAAGAGCTACACTGACGGGAACGCTCAAAGTCCTACTACAGAGACATGAAATCAACGTGGAAACTGGCAAACAAGTGCATCGATTCAACTTGACACACTTCACAGTAGTATACAAAAGAAGGTGGGTAGAATAAGTGATTTGAAAGTGTACAAAGTTGTGTGAGAGGGTGAGCAATTTGGAGATAAAGATAAGTACGAATATTCAAGCTTTAGAAGACGTCAAACAGTGAATATATATGCACCACTGCTACTGATTTTCAGCCATCTCATCAAGAGTTCTTAAACACCAACTCCTGTCGTCTCAAGCACCTCGACCAAGTAGTCTACAGCTCCCTACACGACTAAGACCAACAGTCAGAGACCATGTACTGGTGCCACGTTTTGGTCTGGTCACCCTGAACCCTCTTCCAACCTAATCTAGCTTCTGGCAAAGCACGTCGAGGTAGGCTGTGACTCGACATGCGCAATACATGTCGGAGCCATCTTACCGTTGTCAGTTCGTTGGCTCTGGATTCCGTAAGCACCCCTAAGATGCCTTTCGGTTGGCCTATTTCCCCAAGATTAAAATCATCTGCCACTATTATTACATTAGAACGTTTTGCTTTCTGTAGCAAACTTGACAGCTTTTCTTAGAACATTGAGATAGACCCCTCAACACTAGCAGAAGTTGAGAAAGCGGTAGGTAACTTGAAACGAGGAAGGGTGGCAGGACCAGACGGACCAACTCCTGAGGCATACAAGGATGGTGGTAAGGTGCTCTTAGTCATGTTAACGGAAGTGTTAACCATTATATGGGAATCAAATACGATCCCCTCTGATTGGTCTAAATCACTGATTATTCCAGTCTTCAAAAAAGGCGAGAAGTCCTCTTGTGATCACCACAGAGGAATCAGCCTGATTAACATAGTGTCCAAGACCCTAGGTTCTACAATTCTTCGACGCTTGGGTGGAGCTCGGGAATAGCAATCCCGAGAAAACCAGGCAGGCTTTAGACCCGCTCGCTGGTGTATCTACCGAATATCCACACTGCGCCAGGTTGTGGAACGCAGACACCCTTAGCGACGCCGACAATAGCTGTGCTTCTCCACCTGAAGACGGCCTTTGACTCCGTTGATCGAGAAGTCTTATGGCAATGTCTGTCACTGAAAGGCGTACCGAGTAAGTACATCACCTTATTGAAGGCTCTGCACTCGAACACTTGTTATGGTGTTAGAGCCTATGGTGAGATGTCTAGGGAGCTATGCTCATCGAGTGATGTCCACCAAGGGTCCCCATTGTCTCCAATCTTAGTAAGTTTTATCATAGATATTCTCATGGAGGTCTCCCTCTCGTCACCTGATTACACAGACGTTGACCCAATCACAGGAGAACTTTCGTTAGACCTAGGATACCCAGATGACGTAGTCCTGTTAGGGGAAGACGCTGACAAGATGCAGAGTCTTCTGAACACTTTGAGTAGAAATTTGAAAATGTTTGGGATGCGGTTCTCACCACCCAAATGCAAATTGTTGCTCCAGGACTGATATTCAACGGTGCCACGGCTAACAATAGAGAGTGAGGTGGTTGAGTGTGTTGACCACTTCACTTACCTGGGAAGTAGGATCAACCCTGGTGGGTTAGTTGCCGATGAGATCTCTGCACGAATACAAAAGGCTCGATTGGCTTTTGCCAATTTGCGCCACCGTGATATCCGTTTGTCTATTAAGGGTTGCGTGTACTGCACAGCAGTCGGCTCTGTTCTACTGTGTGGCTGTGAAACATAGCCATTGAAAGTGGAAGATATAAAAAGGCTTCAAGTGTTTGACCACCGTTGCCTATGTAGTATAGGACGTATTCCGTGGTATCACCAGGTGAGTAATTCCGAAGTCAGGTGTAGAGTTTTAGGGAGAAGAGGTAAGTCAGTTGACGAGGTTATGAACCTTCATCGACTGAGATGGTTGGGACACGTACTACGTATGCCTAGTCACCGATTGCCTCGTCACACAATGTTGGTTGAGGTGGGTCCAGGCTGGAAAAAGGCCCGAGGTGGCCAGTCTAAAACATGGCACTAATGTATGAAGTCTCTGACTGTTGGTTTAAGCCATGTAGGACGATGCAGACTAGGTGGTTGGGGTCCGCGGGACAAGAGGAACCAGTGGTTGGAGACTGTAGGTGATATGGCTGAGAACCGATGTCAGTGGTGCAGATGTATACACACATTATGCTCATCCTAACGACGCGATACTGAATTTCACTATTTTGTCATTCCTCTTTTCTTTCTTCGCATACTTAATATTTCTTTTGACTGCATTCTCTTATCTTCATCCTTCACCTCACTACCTTTCTACTTGATGAACACCAAAGCCATGTTCATTGAGAAGTTGGCTAGGCAGTTATCGGAACAAAAGACTGTCACTTCACCAGAAGAAGCTTGGTGCCATCTTCAGTCAAGGCAATGAAATGGAGGATGAAAACAGAAATAAGAATCCGTTAGAAGAAGCTGAAAGTAGTAGGCATACGTACCCACCTCACCTTAGGCTGTAACACGCACACAGGTGTTCGATTAAAGAGCCTTCATATAGAGTGGATGATGTACTTACTCAGTACCGCGTTCTAGTGAGAGACATTGCCATAAGACTTCTCGATCAACAGAGTCGAACGCCGTTTTCATGTCCAGAGATGCAGCAGGTATCAGGCGTCGGTAAGCGTCCCTGTGTTGGGGAACCTGCTGGAGTGTGAATATTTGGTCGATACACCCACGGCCAAGTCTAACCCTGCCTGGTGTTTTGGGGCTTGTTGTTCCCGAGCTCCACTCAGATTTCGAATGATCATACAATCTAGAATCTTCGGCACTGTTTGTCAGGTTGACTTCGTGGTTATCACAGGGGGACTTTTCACCTTTCTTGAAGACTGGGATAATCAACGACTAGGACCAGTCACAGGGGATCGTGTCTGCTTCGCACTGAATTGCACTTCAGTTAATTTGACTGAAGCCCCTTAACCACCGTTCTTGGGTACCCAAAAAACTAGTCTGTCTGACCCTCATGCTCTGCCTTGTATCAGGTTACCTACAGCGTTCTCCACTTCTGCAAGTGTTAAAGTGTCCAATCTCGATTAATCACTCAGGCTGCGACTGGACAGTAGGCAACTATGTAGTAGCTGGAGGCCAAGTGAAGTGTTTCACCCATCGTCCCAGTCGTCCTCCCTACGAGTGAGTCTCAGACCCATCAGTCTCCTTTGTCGTCTTAAGCATCGGCTTTTTGGCTTCAATCCCCTTGATAAGCCTGGTTGACTTTCTTCCGTTACCTATCACCGCTTCCTTTTCCATCTTTACAGCCTTCACTCTCCACAACTGTTCGCTGTCATATTAACTTTTGTCAATCTACGTTTGAAATGCGTCCGCCCCCTACTGTACTCGGAGCCTGCAGGTATGCGTTCGCATGCATTCATTTATTCATCAGAAGGTGCTGATATCCACCTCTATTTTTAACCGCTCTGACGGTTGGCTGTAGTCTTCATCGTTGTTTTTATA